TTAATCAAAGGGTTGAATATTTTTTCAGGCCCTCAATTGCTTATTTGAAATCTATCTTTTGTCTTTGTTAAAATCCATTAGGAGTGTTTCTGAGGCCTTTCATTGCCGTAACCTTAGGCACAAAGTAAATGTATCGCTCTAGGATGAGGGAAAGGACTGGGCAGGGAGGTGGAGGGGTGAGAGTTACTTTATGAAAGGTGCTGTGCTTGGGACATAGTAAGTGCTCAGTAAATTGTGGGTGTTTTGGTGAGGCTGATTATTCCTAGCACAGAAGTAATAGTATGCATCCCCAATAGAGTGGAGTACATGCCCTGGTGTTGTTTTTCTGGTAGTTACAGGGCAGATTTCTGTGAAGAGTCTGACCTGTATATAGGTCTACTCAGTTGCCCACGATTGTAGTCAGGGAACAGAGTGGAAATGAGACTCTCATTAACTACTACCTCATTAGCATTCTCCCATCATTGTTTTTTCCCACTTGGTGTGTTAAATGCTTCGGTGCATTTATATAGAATTTTTTTCCGTCTCCATGGTCTTCCTTCCCTTAATGGAATCAACTCTGACTCACCCTCAGGTCTCAGCTTGGACAGGCAGCGCTACAGGGTGGCTCCCTCTGAAGCCCAAGCCCAGGTTGTGTGCTTTCTCTATACCACTGGGGCTGTGTGTGAGTACTACTCTCCTGGTTCCCATCAGTCTGGATCACAGAGGGACTGCTGGAAAGTCGGTTTCAGGGAGTACCGTTTTTTAACAGAAAAAAATCATAAGTCATAAACGTATGGAAGAATTTATGAAACATAAAAATTCATTTGAGAGAATACTTTTTTTGGGGGGAGTGAACCCAAATCATTTAACTATGGAGTAATTTAGTAAACAATATGGAAGACATTTGTTAATTGGGAGAGAAAATACAGGAAATAGTGTTATAAGAAAGAGCCAGGCATTGAACAGGTTCACTGGCAGATTTCTTTCAGGAAACAGCACAAAAACTAGTGTCATTAATAACAACAACAAAATGATGTGTGCCTACATTAAAAGTTCAGACAATTCTGTAGAGCAGAAACATAAGTAACAAGAAAATAGGAAAAATAATTTTGAGATGTGTGAAAGAAAAATGGTCAATTTTCTTGCTAAATAATCCTTGAAGGAAAAAGAAAACTAAAAAAATTGAAGGACATAGGGAAATAAGAAAAATCAGTAGCTAATAAAATACGAAAAGTTGTTCAACCTTTATAATAATGAAATAAATGCAAATACGTGAATTATGAGTCTTCTCTCAGAGGGAGAGATAGGAGCCAATCAGATTAGCAAAAAATAAGAAATGTCCAGTTTTCGTGGAGATTGTGAGAAAGCACATTCTGTTGGTGGGGTTGTAAATTGTGTGAAGTGTTTTAGAGGGAATTTGAGGATTACCCACAGTTTTGCATGTAAATATTCTTTAAGTAAGCAGTTTATTTTTTATTTTATTTATTTTGAGATGGTCTCGCTCTGTCACCCAGACTGGGGTGCAGCGGCATCATCGGTTTACTGCAACCTCCCGGGCAAGCAGTTCTCCTGCCTCAGCCTCCCAAGTAAGTGGGATTACAGGCACCTGCCACCACGTCCAGCTAATTTTTTGGAGTTTTAGTAGGGATGGGGTTTCGCCATGTTGGCCAGGCTGGTCTCAAATTCCTGACCCTTAGGTGTGCCAACCACCTTGGCTTCCCAAAGTGCTGGGATTACAGGCATGACCCCACCTCACCCGGCCAAGTTAATTTTATTTATAGGTATTTCTTATAGAGAAACTGAAAAGTCTGTAAAGGTACACTAGGCTATTCATTTGTATCATTACTGATAATAGTGAAAATTTGGAAGGAAGACTGGTGTTCACCTGTAGAGGTTTGTATGGCATCCATTCTGCAAAATGCTGTGTCCCTATTAGTGAATTAGATCAATGTGTTCTGGCATGGAAAAAAGAGACCAAGATATTTTATGTGATAGCCCCAATTTGTGAAAACAATATGTGAAATATGGATTCCCCCCTAGTATACTTCTAAAAACTATACATATAATATGTATCATTAAATTGGTTAGAATATAGTGAGTGATACTTTATTTTTCACTTCTTGGAAGCCATATTGAGAAAGCACAGACTTGTGGAATGAATTTTTTATCTCCTGTGAGTGGTGGGGTGGAGAATGCAGAGCCTGGATAAGTGGCTGAGTGAGCAGTTGAGGCGCTGACCCACCTGTGTGGCTTGGTGTCATCGGCTCTTGAGCTTTGCTGACACCACCTATTTTTAATTTCTTTCATGAAGGATGAGATTGGTGCAAAAGTAATTGCTGTTTTTGCCATTCTTTTCAATATTTGATACAGTAGGACTTACCTTTTGTTATTGCTGCTGCCATCTGTGTATTTGTTTGTAAGAGTTTGTTTCTTTTGTGTTTTTAACAAAGTGCAGGAGAATCAGCTCACTATTAAGCTAGACACAGTTGTCTGTCTTCTGAATTTGTTTTAGAGAAAAGTGGCGTTTTTACAACAGACCTCAAAGGAAAACTTTTTTAACCTGTAAAGGCAAGATTTTATTGTCCATGTCAGTCCCTTGCATGGCTTGAGATTGCTAACTTGTGAGTTTGTCATTTTCTATAGATTATCAGCAGAACATAAATCACCATGTTGTCTCGGTGATGTAAAAGTAAATACCACATTAGTCTCTCGTTTTTGTTTCAAGGAAATGGAAGCATACAACAAGTGATATGTCCGACAATTTCACAGTCACTGCAGGAGAATTTATTAGATTTCTTAATATTCTGGAGGATGCCTTTTTCTCTGTTGCAGGTACATAGTAAATGCCTGATAGACTGACTGATGAATCTGTGGGTTCGTCCACATTCCACATTGGTTTCTGAGTTTTCTAACTTCACGTCACCTTACTGGGCACTGCAGGTACTATCCAGTAGAACTTTCTGCAGTGGTGGAAGTATTCTGTATCCATGCCATCCAGTCAGTCATATGTGGCTGATGAAATGTGGATGTAATACAACTGAGGATCTGAACTTTTCATTTAATTTAAATTTAAATTTAAATACTCATATAATTGTGTCACATATTATATTGCCTATTTGCTTTTTCTGTTTAATGTGTATTGTGCATTTTCAGCGACTATTAAATTTGTTAGGGTCATGATTAGACTAATCTATTTCTTCCTCTTAGAAGTAGATATCTTGGGGTATGTTTCAAACATGGGATTGAAGTAATAGTATTTTGGAAAGACTTCTTTGTCCACATTATTTTTAGGTCTGTTATGGCCTGTTGAATTGTTTTCCTTTATGCTGGGAGATAGCCAAAAGTCTGTTCTTGGACATCACATCATGTAACTGCAGCATGCGTCATTATCCCTCTTTTCTTGAAAATGGTCAGTGGGTCACTGTTCATTCCATAATCAATTATATGATGTTAGTCATACAATTTTTTTTTTGTTCATGCCCTTATTAAGCAGCAAGCCACATTTTAGGTACTCAGTAGCCACATGTGGCTGGTGGCTACCACGTTGAACAGCACAGATCGAGAAGAGCTGAGTGGCACTGTCAACCACCTTCAACTAGTTGACATTTATAGAACACTGCCCAACAGCTGTAGCATACACATTCTTTCAGATGTGCATGGAACTTTCTACCATATGCAAAGCCATAAGACGGTCTCAAGTCACAAGAATGAAATCACACAGAATATATTTTGTAACTACATCAGAATGAATTAAATTAGAAACAGTAACAGTAGTACTGGGCTCGGTGGCTCACGCCTGTAATCCCAGGACCTTGGGAGGCCGGGGTGGGTGGATCACAAGGTCAAGAGATCGAGACCATCCTGGTCAACATGGTGAAACCCCGTCTCTACTAAAAATACAAAAAATTAGCTGGGCATGGTGGCGTGTGCCTGTAGTCCCAGCTACTCAGGAGGCTGAGGGAGGAGAATTGCCTGAACCCAGAAGGCGGAGGTTGCTGTGAGCCACCGCGCCCGGCTGATTTTTATATTTTTAATAGAGGCAGGGTTTCTCCATGTTGGTCAGGCTGGTCTCAAACTCCTAACCTCAGGTGATGCACCCACCTCAGCCTCCCAAAGTGCTGGGATTACAGGCATTAGCCACCACACCTGGCCAATCGTATATTCTTAAAACTTGTCAGTGAAGGTAATGTGGCAACATTCCTGAAAACCTAGTTATAAAAGTAGTATGTATGTGCTCCCACATTTGTCTTTCTTTTTTAATCCACACGTGAAAATCAATGGCTCCTAAACCAGCAGGTATATCTCCCCAGATATCCTCAAGATTACATGACCTGGTAACAGTGCATAGAAGGAAATGTAAAACTTCATGTGATTACATTTAAAAGAAACAGAAGTTTAAAATTGACCTGAGTTATCACCTTAAACTGTAAAATTATAAAACAAACCCCCAAGTAAGTTAGCAGGAAGAAAATAAGGATAAGGATAGAAACGGACATATAGTATTACAATACCACATATTGCAATGTGATATCCCTTCTTTTTGATAACTTTTACTAATTTGTTAGCCTATACTGACTAGCAATAAAATTAGTGGAAAAAAAGTGTACATACAATTTTAAAAAACTTATTATAAGGAATCAGTTTGTAGGAGAGAGCAGGATTGAATCCAGATTAGTAATTAAAATTTGTTTTCTACTGAAAGCATCAATTTCCTTGGATTCAGATTCACTTTAATCTTGTGATGTGCCTATTTTGACATCATTTAACCTGGGGGGAAGATATAAGATACAGTTTATATTTTATAAACCCAGGAAGAATTTTAAAGTTGAGGATTTGAGCTTAGTTTTAAAAGAATCAGATGGTTAGCATTTGTGTGCATCCCATTGAGAAGATGTGTATTTACTATCAGGACAATGACATTTTCACATGACTGCAGAATGATTCGTTCTGGGGAATTTGCATAGTCTCATAGAACAAAAACAAATGAATATTTAAATAAGACATTGAATTTTTTCTTACAGGTTTATTGACAAGAAGGAAAGGTTAAGCCGACTTAAGAGCAAGCAAGAAGAATTTCAAAAAGAGTGAGTGTTTTGCCTTTTAATTTGTGGAGGTGATCTAGTCACCATTTGGTTTAATTCATTGCTGTGGTATGCAGATATATGAATTGCTAACTTACTGAATTTAGGATACAATCTCTTAAAGTGTAGAAAAAGGAGTGCATCTGAGAGAGGTAAAGCAGGAGAAGTTATTAAGTTTCTAGAAAATACTTGTCTCAGACCTGGTGCGTTGTACACAGTAGATAATGAATCAAATCCCTGGTACTGATAATTGGTGTGTGGGTCCAGGACAGTGGGTATGATTAGACTTAAGTTAGTGCTGTTGGCTCCCATAGGACATTACTGCTTCCATTTACCTTTCTTCCTTTGTGCGTATCAGTATTTTGCAACATATGGTCTGCACATCATCTCTATCAGAATTCATTAGCTGAGATAATGGTTAAAAATTCAAATTTTTAGAATCCTATCCTCAGAGATTCAAATGCAGTAGATACAGGGTGAGGCCCAGGAATCTTAGGTTTGTTTGTTTTTTTTTGGCGGGGCAGGGGGAATCTGAGTTATTAACAGGCACCCCTGATGAATCTCCCACTCCCTAGTATTGAAAATTGTCCTGGCCGGGCGCGAAAATTGTCCTGGCCGGGCGCGGTGGCTCAAGCCTGTAATCCCAGCACTTTGGGAGGCCGAGGCGGGTGGATCACGAGGTCAAGAGATCGAGACCATCCTGGTCAACATGGTGAAACCCCGTCTCTACTAAAGATACAAAAAATGAGCTGGGCATGGTGGCAAGTGCCTGTAATCCCAGCTACTCAGGAGGCTGAGGCAGGAGAATTGCCTGAACCCAGGAGGTGGAGGTTGCGGTGAGCTGAGATCGTGCCATTGCACTCCAGCCTGGGTAACAAGAGCGAAACTCCGTCTCAAAAAAAAAAAAAGAAAATTGTCCTATAGAACGTTCTGGTATAGAACCTGCTTCTCAGATGTGCTCCAGATGTTTGCATCTCTGTGCCTTCATTCAGTTTCTCTCCAACTCAGTGCTTTTCCTCCTCTCTGAGCACATCCTGCCCATCTCTCAAGGCTTTTAAAGGGTTGTCTCTTTTGTGACACTCCCCAAACCATGCCAACATGGATGTCTCACACCTCTTTGTGGAAACAGTTAATGATCAGGCCAGTGATTCCCACAGTGTGACCCCAGCTTCTCTAGAGTCTGCAATGGTCTGATAAACACATTCATGAGCAGTTTAAATCTTCCAGGATATTCTGTATTAGAGAAACCTGCTTGAATTTTTTTAACTCCGAAATTTCTCTAACTTACTCAAACATGAAAACTTTATTTTTCCCATAGAACATTTTATTCTATAGAACAAATCTTTGGAGATACTGGCATGTATCATTTCTTTGGGAACTAACCATAGTATTTTAGATCATTAATTCATTCTCTTGTAACTATTACTGTGAATTATGATGGGTGGAAATTACTGATGACTGAGGACAAAGGCTAAGGCCGTTAGGCAGATTTATTGTGGGCATTTGTAGAAAGGCTCTTAGGAGTGTTCAGAACTGCAAAAGGAAGGAGATGAAAAAAATTGCAGAGAACAGGGATTCTGGAAAACACTTTAAATGCTAAGTCCCGTTTTGATATTTCTAGCCATTTCGAAGAACTTCATTTTAAAAGTTTTTGGTTTTACATTCTTGAAAGTCACAGAATTTTTTAATTTTTAAGAGCTTATTTTCTGTCTCTTTTCCATACAGAGTGTTAAAAGCTATGGAAGGAAAATGGATAACAGATCAGTTGGTAAGCTGTAATATATGTTCTTTTTACTTGAGGCAACTTGGTTTTAAGTTGGTAGAGCTTATAAAATCATTTTTAATTAAAAAAATTTTTAAGTCATATTTGGTAGTCCTCTGCTTAAATCCACTTGTAGTGTGACCTTCTCAAATATTTCATCCAGATACCAAAAATGGGGTATCAGCAATTAATTATGGAGCCATCATAAAGGATAATTATGAAACTTGGTGTTGACATAGAAAAACAAAAACAGTGGGCTATTATCCTTTTTGCAAAAATTATTTATCATATACATACTTCAAATGGGTTAATGATTAAATGTGTCAAAGAAAATATTGGTAGGTATTTACATAATCTTGTAGTGGGGAGAACCTTTATAAACCATAGAGGAAAGCATTTTGACAGATTACCTAACAGATTAAAACTTCTGGGGGTCCAAAGTGGCTCCTGCCAGAGGTCATGGCGCTTGCGAAGGCGAGGTCATCAGTTCAAGGCCAACCTGAGCAACCTCATAAGCTCAAACTGATTGGCAAAAAAATAAAAATAAAAAAAAAAAACTTCTGACCAGGTGTAATGGCTCACACCTGGTCAAGTAATCCCAGGTACTTGGGAGGCAGGAAAATGACTCGAACCCAGGAGGTGGAGGCTGCAGTGAGCCGAGATGGTGCCGCAGCACTCCAGCCTGGGTGACAAAGTCAGACTCCCTCAAAAAAAAAAAAAAAAGTTTAACAATTAATTAAACTGTGGGGAAAAAACGAGTAGAGCGTATGAAAATAAAGAGTTTGAGGAAGGCATGGCAGAGGCCAGGCAGCCCTGCTTTGCTAAGGCTCTAGACAGGTGTGCTGTGCCCTGCAGGCACTCTTGGCACATGCCCTCCCTGTAACTGGAAGCTTAAGAGGAAGGTCAGTGACCTCCACTGAAGGGGCCACAAAGGAAGAGCCCAAGAGGAGATTGGCACGGTTGTCAGCTGAGTCTGCTCCTGCAAAAGTGGAAACAAAGCTGAAAAAGCAGCAGGAAAGAATAAATCTTCAAACAAAAAAGTCTACATATATTGCTGTGTAATGATGTCCACGTTATATTTATTAATGGGAAAAAAAGTAAAGTAGGGTAAAGTGTGATTCCATTTATGCGAGTATGTCCCTTAAATATAAATTACTCTTAAAAAATCTGGGCTGGGTGCGGTGGTGGCTCATGCCTGTAATCCCAGCACTTTGGGAGGCCGAAGTGGATTGCTTGAGCCCAGGAATTCAAGACCAGCCTGAGCAACATGGCAAAACCCCACATCTACAAAAACAAAAACCAAAAATTAGTGAGGTATAGTAGTGTATTCCTGTAGTTCCATCTACTCAGGAGGTTGAGGTGGGAGGATCGCTTGAGTCAGGGAGGTCAAGGCTGAAGTGAGGCTGTAATCACACCACTGGACTCTAACCTCTCCAGTAACTAGGACCATAGGCGCATGTCACCGCACCTGGCTAATTTTTTGTATTTTGGTAGAGACGGGGTTTCGCCATGTTGCCTGGGTTGGCCTTGAACTCCTGAGCCCAAGTGATCTGCCTGCCTTAGCTTCCCAAAGGCTAGGATTACAGGTGTGAGTGGCTGCACAAGGCCATAGATCCTTTTTTTTTTTTGAGACAGAGTCTCAGAGTCTCGCTGTTATGAGGCTGGAGTGCAGTGGCGTGATCTTGGCTCACTGCAGCCTGTGACTCCCTGGTTCAAGCAATTCTCCTGACTCAGCCTCCCGAGTAGCCGGGATTATAGGCACGTGCTACCATGCTTAGCTAAATTTTGTATTTTCAGTAGAGACAGGGTTTCACCATGTTGGCCAGGATGGTCTCAAACTCCTGACCTTGTGATCCACCCACCTCGGCCTCCCAAAGTGCTGGGATTACGGGTGTGACCACCGCACCTGGCCCATAGATCCTATTTTTATTGATCCTCTCTGTTCACTTAAGGCAAGGGTGCGCAACCCCAGGGCACATATGGCTACTGGTCTATGGCCTGTTAGGAACCAGGCAAGAGTAGGGTGAGCCAAGCATTACCACCTGAGCTCCACCTCCTGTCAGATCAGTGGTGGCATTAGATTCTCATAGGAGCATGAGCTCTGTTATGAACTGCACGTGCGAGGGATCTGGGTTATGCACTCCTTATGAGAAAATAATGCCTGATGATCAGAGGTGGGACAGTCTCATCCCTGTAAACCATCCCCCACCCTGTCTGTGGAAAAATTGTCTTCCACAAAACCAGTCTCTGGTGCCAAAAAGGTTGGGGACTGCTGTTTTAGGGGATGCTGAACCTAACTCCTGGTAATATAAAGAGGCAGTTTCATGTTTTGTATAATTTTCTGAGGCTTTTCAGGAGCTCTTACTTGAGTTATGCACTGAAAAAGTAATGTTTGTTTTGTTGCCATTTTTATTAACTTTTAAGTACTATTTGTTTATTGGGTGAGATGACTCGGTTATGTTAACTGTCTCCTCTAGACGTTAATATAACCTCAGCACTAGAGGTTTGGAGCAGTACGTCAGTAGAACTCTGTGTGATGATGCCTGTGTTGTGTATCTTTGCTGTCCAATCCAGTAGCCGCTAGACATGTGTGATGTCAAACATTTGACATGAGGGTGGTGTGAGTAAGGAACTGAAGTTTTGAGTTGGTATGATGTAAAATGAGTTTTAAGTAACCACATGTGGCTATAGTCAGAGAGGGTTTAGAGAATGTCCTTCAACTTTTTTCTTTGCTCTCATAATTTCCCTTATTTTCTCTTTTGTCTGCATTGAGCCAGAAAAACATTGTTCTCTTTTTCGTAATCTTCCATAGTTACAAAAGCTATAACAAACATAATTATAGTGCCCTTTTCTTCGTTAGGTTTTCTGACATACCTGAAAATAAGTAGTGATCCCAGATAGGTAATCATATAATAATCATAAGAGACCAACGTTTGTAACATTTATTACATGCTTTTTTCAGAGATGGAAAATAATGTCCTGCAAGATGAGGATTGAACAGTTAAAACAAACAATATGTAAAGGAAACGAAGAAATGAAGAAAAGTAAGTAACTTGCCCCCTTTCTTCCAGCCCTAGAAAGCACTTAGGTGGAATTTTGTGGGAATGATAAACTAGAGGGACATAGAAAGAAAGCAAGGGATGGGGCAGTGGCAACTTGGGAGAAGTTTACTACTTGCCTTCATCTTTCCTTGTAAAACGTTTGTGTAAGGAATTTTTAAAAATTAGATACACACTTATAGAGGCCTCAAATAACCAGATTCTTTTCTCAGTTAAAGAAGTTGGCCAGGCGTGGTGGCTCACACCTATAATCCCAGTACTTTGGGAGACCAAGGCAGGTGGGTCACTTGAGGTCAGGAGTTCGAGACCAGCTTGGCCAACATGGCGAAACCCTGTCTCTACTAAAAATACAAAAATTAGCCAGATATGGTGGCAGGTGCTTATAATCCCAGCTACTCGGGAGGCTGAGGCAGGAGAATCGCTTGAACCCGTGAGGCAGAGGTTGCAGTGAGCCATGATCGCGCCATTGCACTCCAGCCTGGGCAACAAGAGCGAAACTCTGTAAAAAAAAAAAAAAGTTAAGGAATGTATGTTTCTATTTGCCTTGGCTAACAGGAAGCTCACAGTCTCACTTAGTACTCACTTGTAATGACATGGCAGAAGCACAGAATATTGGTTTTTTTTTTTTCCCTTAGTGAGTCTCCACATTTTAATCTGTATTAATTTTACATCATATTTGTACACTTTATACTTTATCATAGGCCATTGTCAAAATGAATTCTCTTAGAAATCCTACATCTTAACCTATTTCCCATTTGCCCCCAGAATACTTTTGTCTCTAATCCTAATATAACATCATATTCATTTCTGTTACATTAAGATTAGAGACATGTTCTGTTTAGAAATAACTCCAAGAAAAGCTTTTATGTTTTATTTTCACCCTGAAAATCAGATTTATTTCAGACTCAGAGTGTGTTTACGTAACATTAAATGAGCGCCAGCAGCAAGCTGCAGTCCATGAATTTCTGAAGATCAGTGTTTAAAGTTTAGGATGAGTCACCGTCAGACCTCGTGAATCTTTTTCTTGTCAACTCGTTGCTTCCAGAAGCAAGTCTTTTATAGTAGCATGTAATGGTGTAAAGCTTCCGTTGAAAACATTTGTCCTAATAAAGTGCTCACCTGGAGTTTCATGGGATTACTAGAGAATTAGGGCAGCACAGTGGAAAGTGCACAGAACTCTCTAGAACCCACTTTCCACCCAATCTTGCATGTGATCCCCAAAGGTTCAGTAGCAACATAAGAACCCATTCCTTAACATTAGTTCATGCTCTCCCTGTCTTCCCATGATGTTCAGGGCTTTGCCACCAGGCGTCTGTGAACCTCCTGAAATTGCTGCATTTACTGAGCATGCCTGTTTCTCTGATGAGCAGGTTAAAAGCTCTGATCAGCTGTTTTTAACTCATTCCTACCTCCCCAAAACAAAAACCACCACCACAGAGAATTAGACATAGATCTGAAGGAGTGGACCCTAGTGGTTTTTATCCCCAACACATCATCAGTCACCTGGTGACCCTTCTAAAATCTAGAGAGAGAACCTTGGGATCTATCCTGGACTTAGGAAAATGATCACATGCTTGAATGTTATTGCAATGTCAGATCGCCATGTTGTTGAAAAAAGCTCCCATGTGCATACTCTGTATCTCTGTCCTCCTGTCTTCATGACTGGTAACAGTTTACAGATGGGCCCAGATCTAGAAGCCACACTTGAATAGCACTACTCCAGGTGGTTCTGATGACCTGCCAGGGTTGGGAACTGCTGCTCTTTAGAATGTAAATACAGTCTCCTTCCCACCCTCTAGACCCGACTTTAAAAAATTGCAAACAGTTTTAAAGGTGTTAATGGATTCCAGAAGCTATGCTTGGAACTCATCTTTAAGAGCTTGCTACCCAAAAGTCTTTCTGTTGTGGTCAAATTATGACATGTATTCATGAAAGGGCACACGTTCTAAATTGACTGTAGAGACTGATTAATTATTTATCTAGAATCTTTTGACTTAAAGGGTCATGATACACATTATATGGTATAATGTATATATATGGCATAGATAGGGAAGTTAGGTTATATGCAGTTGCAGTGTTGAGTTGATCTGTGCTATAGTGAGAGTTATTTATCTAAAGAAGTAAGAGAAGAGAGAAGATACAGATGCAGCACCAAACATCTTGATGTTTGGGGGGAGATGGCAGGGAGAGAAGGATGACTGGTTGCAGATGGGGTGACTGATGATTTCCTGCCACCTGTGAGTGGTCATGATCATAAATTTGAAATAGAGTCCTCCCCAAAAATCTGACCACTGTATGACTCAGGATCATGGCTGGGGTAGATTCATTTCAGCACTTGTAAAGAGCTCAGTAAAGATTATGAAAATAAGGTAGCATGTGATGGAACCAAGAGACTGAACCTTTAGGACATTCACATTGAGCAGGGATGACAAAGAGATGATGATGATGATGATGATGATGATAAAGAGATGATAATGATGTTGATGATGATGATGATGATGATGTTTTGAGATGTAGTGTCACCCAGGCTGGAGCGCAGTGGTGCCAGCTCGGCTGACTGCAACCTTTGTCTCCTGGAGTCAAGCGATTCTCCTGCCTCAGCCTCTCAAGTAGCTGGGATTATAGGCACCCACCACGACACCTGGCTGATTTTTGTTTCAAAACTGTAAGAAATCCACCAGGCACAGTGGCTCATGCCTGTAATCCCAACACTTTGGGAGGCCAAGGCAGATGCATCACTTAGAGGGCAGGAGTGTGAGACCAACCCGGCCAACATGGCAACACCCCATTTCTACTAAATAAAAAAATTAGCTGGGTGTGGTGGTAATCCCAGCTACAGTATGTGCCTGTAATCCCAGCTACTCGGGAGGCTGAGGCAGGAGAATCGCTTGAACCCAGGAGGCGGAGGTTGCAGTGAGCCGAGATTGCGCCACTGCATTCCAGCCTGAACAACAAGAGCGAAACTCCGTCTTCAAACAAACAAAAAAACTCAGAAATCTAAGGCCTGCAACCAAATACCTAAGTTCAGTGATGCTCCGTGAAAGAGAGTGGGAGGATGATTTGGATCCACAGACATTTATCAGGTGCTTTTTATATCCTAGTTAGGAGACAACAAGCCTTTGGTGGGACCTCATGTAAGGAAGCAAGAGCTATATGCCATCAGAGGTGTCCAAACACATTAGCATAGGGTTCTGAGGAGCAAAAGGTATGGGGAGTGTTTATGGAGGGGTCTTCCTGAATGAGTAAAATTCGAACATTTAGAAAACAGGAGCAAATAGATAGTATGAGTGTTAGGGAGTGATGACTGTATTTGATGGGGACTAGGGAAGCACTGAGCATTGGCTACAATTTATAAAGATTGAGCAAGTGAAAAAGGGCATGTGAAGGCATGGAGTTGAGCCATGCTGGAGATAGGCAGAGTTTTGGTGAGCGTTAACTAGGGTTGTGATAGTAGGAATAAAAAGAAAGGTCTAGATAGAAAGACTTGAACTGGTAATGGAATTGACCATCGCCGGATTGATTAGGCAGTGGATAAGTCAAAAATAATCTTGGCCGGCCGGGCGCGGTGGCTCACGCCTGTAATCCCCCCACTTTGGGAGGCTGAGGTGGGTGGATCACGAAGTCAAGAGATCGAGACCATCCTGGTGAAATCCTGTCTCTAATAAAAATACAAACAATTATCTGGGCATGGTGGCGTGTGCCTGTAATCCCAGCTACTCAGGAGGCTGAGGCAGGAGAATTGCCTGAACCCAGGAGGCGGAGGTTGCGGTGAGCCGAGATCGTGCCATTGCACTCCAGCCTGGGTAACAAGAGCGAAACTCCATCTCAAAAAAAAAAGTAATCTTGAAGGGGGGAAACTGGAGATTTTTCTGGAAAAATAATGAACTTGGTTTTGAACTTGGATTTAAGTTGCCTGAGCAACTCCTGGATATCTGTCTGAGAGTTTACAGCTAGTTTCTGTCATTCAAGTGAAGTTTCGCTACAGCGCAACAGGTGTAGCTAGCAGGTGTAGGATCCAGAACTCAAAGGAACGCCACAAAAAGGATCGAAATGTGACAGGGCGAATGTATGTCTCCTCTCCTGGTTGTGTGGCCAGGCTTTTGTTTCCCTTGCAGCGCTTAAAATGCTGGGCATGTGTGTTCCAGATACCTCACCAGATACGTTCCCACCCACCCTGCCGGTTGCTGCCATACTCCACTGTGACTTTGAAGAGCTCTTGGGCTGTTTCTGTTGCTCTTCTCTACCAGATAACCATCTGCTGTGGGTTTATCCCTGGGTTTTCTGGTTATAACCCAGGGCACATGTAAGAGGTTTCTCAGGAAATCAGATAGCCAGTAAGTTTTTCACATTTGCAGTAAATCTCTTTTCTGCCCAACATGGCTATTCTTGGTGCCCACTTTAGGAAAGTCAGGTCCTTCTTGTGCTAAACTTAAACTTGACAGTCATCGAGTGACTCCATTTACTAAGGATGAGTACAGATGGAGATCCAGAGTCATTTTAATCATGGTTCTCTTTCTCTTATGTGTAATGTCTGCTTGAACTGAACTCAAAATTTTCAGTTAGTGAACATGAGTTGATTTTACTGATGTTTTGCTTTCAGTTTAGATTGCAAAGGAAAACATGTATGTTTGTGGGGTGGAGCTCTGCAGTGCATAGGAACTGTTTGCAGAGATAATTGTTGGGTGTGATCTATTTATTTTAGATTCTGAAGGTCTTCTCAAAACCAAGGAGAAGAATCAGAAGCTTTACAGTCGAGCACAGCGGCACCAAGAGAAAAAGGAGAAGATTCAGAGGCATAATCGCAAACTTGGCGACCTGGTAGAGAAAAAGACCATTGACTTAAGAAGTCATTATGAGCGTCTGGCAAATCTTCGACGATCCCATATATTAGAGCTCACTTCTGTCATTTTCCCAATCGAGGAAGTAAAGACTGGTGTGAGGTACATTCAGCAAACCTTTTCACTCTAGGAATAGATCAAGTTCCAAATACTTTCTGAAGTATGTCAGCACCTTATTTCTTGGGCCTTATTCTAGGGTCACTGGTTTTCCTGATGATGGAACATAAGTCTTATCTGTTTCAACAAACAGTGCACACTGCACAAAGCTGGTTAGGCAGCCAGGTGAGCGGTGGGGCCCAGGCTTGTGTACTCTCCTAGAGCTTCTAGGTGAGGTGCTGACTCATACTTCTAATTAAGAACCACCTGATGGCCGGGTGTGGTGGCTCCCGCCTGTAATCCCAGCAGTTTGGGAGGCCGAGGTGGGCGGATCACCTGAGAGGTCAGTAGTTTGAGACCAGCCTGGCCAACACGATGAAACCCTGTCTCTACTAAAAATACAAAAATTAGACAGGCATGGCGGCACGCACCTGTAGTCCCAGCTACAGTACAGCAGGAGAATTGCTTGAACCCAGGAAGCCGAGGTTACAGTGAGCCAAGATCATGCCACTGTACTTCAGCCTGAGCAAGAGAGCAAGACTCTATCTCCAAAGGGAAAAAAAAAAAAAAAAGGACTATCTGATGGGTGATGTTTGATGTTGGGCCATTTATTAGTTGTGTTTTGGGAGGCATCTTCTTGGACCTCAAAGTCTTGATTTCCTTGTCTGACAAATGGGGATTTAAAAATGCCCTTTCACAGAGAAATCATGAGCAAATACATAAGAAAACATCTAGAGCTTGGGGTCTCTTAGAGATGGTCGGCACTACATGTTGACTTAACCTTTTCCTGGTGACTGCTATTTATTGTGTTAGTTGCTATTGAGCACTAAATACTGTGACTTTAATCTTAGGCGCTAGTGCATGGATAACCTCTGGTGGGATGAACAGGACAGTGGTTCCCCCATCTGGCTGTTCATCTGAGAAATAGAGGTTCCAGAGGGTACCCCTCCACCCTCCCAGTCCAACTTGTAATACTTCTGTATCTTTAAACTTCCCTGATGCTACTGCTCATCAGCAGGTTTGACAACTACCACCGGCTTTCATTTATTCCCACAAGCCACCGGGCTGCTCTAGTTGAGGATTTTCCTGCCTCTCTGGGTGCTCCGACTCTCCAGCAGCTTTCCCTGGAAACACTCACTGGACTATTGCTAGTTTCATAACTATTCTCTCCAGTCTGTCCTTTAGTCTGTTGCCAGAGTTGGCTTCCTAAAACCCAAAAAGACTGATTGCTCTTCTAGCTTGAGAACCTGCTCTCTGACTCTTAAGTAATTTGTCATTAGTAAGAGTTGGCAAATAGAAAAATAAAAAGGCAGATTTAAAATAGAGCAGAATATCAAGTTTTCAGGAGACTGACAGCTGAGTGCAGTATGTGATCTTGGATCCTGTATCCCAGAAGAGATATTAGCAGGACAGTTGGAGAGAGTTGAGCAAGTTCTGTAAATGAGTTAACAGTGTAGTAGCAGTGCTGATTATCTGGTTGTGATAATTGTATAATATTTTCGTGAATTGATACTTTGGGAAAGTTGAGTGAAGTGTATACAAGGAAACTTTAAAATTCTTGACGTTTTTCTGTAAGGCTGATATTTTTTCAAGAACACACGAAGAGAAAATGAAGAAAAACTCTTATTTCTGTGCTGTTTTAATCTTTTATTTAGTGTAAATTATTATATGCCATTCATTTTTTAAAAAGAAGTTGATGGTTTTAAAGTTTTCCTTATAGTAAGAAATCTTACTATAAGTTACTTCTCGTAACTTCTTGTGGGAGGAGGGAGAGCTAGCAGTACAGCTCAGAATTGGCCAGTCTTATCTGTGACAGCTGGTAGCAGTTATCTTACACATATGTTGTGGCAGAAGGAAAGATATGAAGAACCACTGGCCAAGAGGACAGAATCTAAACTTTGAGCAGCACAGAAGGCCTTTCCCAGTCCGCTTGCTTTCTGCCTGCTTTTCCAGTCCGTCTCCTGGCACTTCCCTTGTGTGTCCCACATACCAGCCACACTGAACATCTCTGTTCCCCAAGTGCGCTGTGTCCTTTCCCATCACTGCATTTGTACCTGCTGTGACTTCTCATGGTGGGTTTGTTTTTTTGATTTGAGAGGGAGTCTCATTCTGTTTTCCAGGCTGGAGTGCAGTGATGTGATCATAGCTTATTATAACCTTGAATTCCTGGGTTTAAGCAATCCCACTGCCTTGACCTTACAAAGCACTGAAATTACAGGCATGAGCCATCATGGTGGGCTTGTTATTTTTTGTTATTCTCAGTTTTTTGTTTGTTTGTTTGTATTTTGAGACAGAGTTTCGCTGTCGCCCAGGCTGGAGTGTACTGGCACAATCTCAGCTAACTGCAACCTCTGCCTCCTGGGTTCAAGCAATTCTCCCACCTTAGCAATTCTCCCAAGTAGCTGGGATTACAGGCACCTGCCACCACACCTAGCTCATTTTTTTATTTTTAGTAGAGATGAGGTTTCACTCTGTTGTCCAGGCTGGTCTCAAATTCCTGACCTCAAGTGATCTACCCGCCTTGACTTCCTAAAATGCTGGGATTACAGACATGAGCCACTGCACCTAGCCCTGTTGTTTCTTTTCTTTCAGTCCTCAGTTGGTTTGCAATATGGAGCCTGTGAATATGGCTATGGCATATGAGGGCATGGCGAGCAGGCGCAAGGCCCTGTGCTGCGTACTGAAGGGCCATTGTTGGCACAGGGAAAAGCACTAGAGCTTGAGCTGCAAGCTGAGCTAGCTGCTATTTTTGTGGGATGCTATTTTTACTTGACAGAAAGACTTGAGTATTAAAGAGAGTTTAAAAAATGTAAAACTGTGTCACTCTTTTTTTTTTTTTTTTTTTTTGCCAATCAGTTTGAGCTTATGAAGTTGCTCAGGTTAGCCTTGAACTGATGACCTCGCCTTCGCGAGCTCCATGACCTCCGGCGGGAGCCACTTTGGACCCCGGAACTGTGTCACTCTTTACTAATTTTTTGTTTCGAAAAGATTTTTTTCATAAAAATGTTTAACAGGTTTAATAGGTTTATTGATATTTCTGAATGAATTATTTAAATTTTTCTCAGTTTCTAATTCAGTAAGTATCAGTAATCTAACCCATGTAAACAAAAGTTCTTTGGGATTCCAAAGTGTTTTAAAAAAGCAAGTAAAAGGGTGTCAAGACCAACTAGTTGGAGGACCTACTACGTTTGGCCCTACCTCTTGGTTCCGTCTTCCTCATAGTGTGTGGGCTTTTATGCCACAGCTGGTTTGGTCCTCATCTCTGATAGCAAATTCTTACCTACATATATTCCAGTTAAATTCCTGGCCAGGCATGGTGGCTCACAACTGAAATATTTGCACTTTGGCCTATCACAGGAGCTCATGATTATAAGCTCAGCACTTTCAGAGGATTGCTTGAGGCCAGGAGTTCAAGACCAGCCTGGGCAACAAAGTGAGACCTCATCTCTACAAAAAAAATGTTTTAAGTTAGCCAGGTTTGGTAGTAGGTGCCTGTAGTCCCAGCTACTTAGGAGGCTGAGGCAGGAGGATCTCTGGAGTTTAGGAGTTCAAGGCTTCTGTGAGCTATGATTGCGTCTGTCAGTGCACTCCATGTTGAGTAACAGGGTGACACCCATCTCTAAAAATAAAAACGAAGGTAGAATTCCTGTGCTCACATGCAGCTCTTTGATGTTCTGGCTTGTGTTGCGGGTATATTGCATGCCCTTAAAAATCCTCTCTTGAAATCTGTATGTGTCTTCTTGACTTGTAGAGATCCCGCAGATTTGTCTTCAGAGAGCGACAGTGCCATGACCTCCAGCACTGTGAGCAAGCTTGCTGAAGCCCGGAGGACAACTTACCTCTCAGGACGATGGGTCTGCGATGATCACAATGGAGACACCAGCATTAGCATTACAGGGCCTTGGATTAGCCTCCCGAACAATGGGGACTACTCTGCCTACTATAGCTGGGTGGAGGAGAAGAAAACAACCCAGGGGCCTGGTGAGAAGCTGCATATCCTTTGAAATCTAGATAGAGAGTTCTAGGTAAAATTGACATAACAAAATGAACAGCTTTCAAACAAACAGTTCAGGGGCATTTAGTACATTCCTGGCATGTGCTTCCGTCACCTCCATGTCATTCCAAAACATTTTGATCATCCCAGACAGAAACCCCATGGCATGAAAAGTGTCACATTCCCCCACTCTCCCTTCCCCTCAGCTCCTGGCAACTACACATCCGCTTTCTATGACTGTAGATTTGCCTGTTCTGGGCAACTCGTATCAATGGAATCATCGAATCTATGGTTTTTTGTGTCAGGCTTCTTTCACTTAGCATGATATTTTCAAGGTTCATCCACATGATTTGCATATATTATTTCATTCCTTTGAATTCCATTGTATGGATAAATAAGCCACATTTTGTTTTATTCAGTCATCACTTGATGGACTGAAAACATTTTTTAGATGTCTCACTTTTTGGGGGGTTAATACTGCTTGGTATATAAGAAGACATTAAAGAAGTATATTTAGCCTATTGAGATCTGTATTTTTAGTGTACAACTTTGTAATGTGTTTTAGTAGTCCTAAATGGAGATTTAAATCCCCCAGTGGAAAAACCCTTTAAAACCCCTGCAGATTCTCTTTGGTGGAGAAAGATTGTTTGCAGTCACTCATTAAATATTTAGTGATCTCATGCTTTGTGTCATGCACATTGCTGGGTGCTGGACATACAAAGGTGACCAAGACAGATGTGGCCCTTTCCTCTTAGGAGAGAAAGGCAGGAAGTAAGTAAATAATCAAGATGCTGTACATGCAGTGGGTGCCATGGAAGGAATTAGGGGACCTTCCTGGGGCAGGATGGGTACGGAGGAAGGGCTGACTCTTTCATAGGTTTGTCAGGAGAGGCCTTTCCGGGGAGGTGACATTCAAGTTGGGCATTTATTGTTCTGATATTACATTATCAGGTTCACACAGGTCAGACTTTAATTTCATTTATGCTGGGCCTATTTAGGCCCATTTGCTCTGTTGCATTGCTCAGCAAAATACCAACAATGGGCCATTTATGTCTGGTCATGGAGTATCTGTTAAGTAAGGACTAAAACCTAACAGTGTTATCATGATAAAGTCATTATGATCAACTCTTAGATCATTAGAATGTTGTTGGAATGAAGGTTTTGTCCATGGTGGTTGTTTTCATACTGCAGATATGGAGCAGAGTAACCCTGCCTACACCATCAGTGCTGCGCTATGCTATGCAACTCAGCTGGTCAACATTCTGTCTCATATACTTGATGTAAATCTTCCCAAAAAGCTGTGCAACAGGCAAGTAATTGAAGGCGATATTGTCATCTTTATCGTAGCTCTTTCAAGTTTCTCTTTTGTCCTCATTTATTCCAGTAAACCAAAAATAGGAATGTAAATATTATCAAGACTGAGAAGGTCTGATTGAAATATCGAGATTAATTTCAAAAGCCTTATGTGCTAATTTGTTTCATTATCTTACAATTGTACATGAAGTCTTCCAGAAGACCGCAGAAAATCTAAAGGGGAGTACCAGGATATTCAAGGGTTTGCTGCAGATACTCGTGTTAAAGTGTAACCACTGAATTCTTTGGTTTTGTTGTTTTTGTTGTTGTTTTGAGACCCAGTCTTGCTCTGTCACCTAGGCTGGGGCACAGGGGCGCAATCTCTGCTCACTGCAGCCTCTACCTCACAGGTTCAAGCAATCCTTCCACCTTAGCCTCCCATGTAGCTGGGATTACAGGCACCCACCACCATGCCTGGCTAATTTTTGTATTTTTAGGAGTGAGGGGTTTTGCCATGTTGGCCAGGCTGCTCTTGAACTCCTGACCTCAAGTGATCCGCCTGCCTCAGCCTCCCAAAGTAAATTTGGGATTACAGGTGAGCTGGGATTACAGGTGAGCCACTGTGCCTTGCCCTGAATTCTTTTGGTTTGTTTGTTGTTGTTGTTGTTTTAAATAAAAAACTTACATGGTTTAAAATTCAAAACATTTATACAAAAACTAGCTGGGCGTGATGGTGGGTGCTTGTAATCCCGGCTACTTGGAGGCTGAGGCAGGAGAATCACTTGAACCTGGGAGCCTGAGGTTGCAGTGAGCCAAGATCACACCACTGCACTCAAGCCAGAGTGACAGAGTGAGACTTTGTCTCAAAAATAAATAAATTTCAAAAAATTTAAAGATACACAGTCTACCCAGTTTGCACTACAACCATCCTCCTACCCTCCAGCTATATCATTGCATTTCAAGCACATGCAGACATTATCATCTTCTCCCACTTTTAAAAAATAAACCCCGTCTCTACTAAAAATTCAAAAAATTAGCTGGGCATGGTGGTGTGTGCCTGTAATCCCAGTTACTCAGGAAGCTGAAGGAGGAGAATTGCCTGAACCCAGGAGGCGGAGGTTGCGGTGAGCTGAGATCTCGCCATGGCACTTCAGCCTGGGTAACAAGAGCGAAACTCCGTCTCAAAAAAAAAAAAAAAAAAAAAATTTAAAAGTTCCTTTCTTCTTTTTTCTTGAGACAGGGGTCTCACTCTTTCGCCCAGGCTGGAGTGCAGTGACATGATCTCAGCTCATTGCAACCTTCACCCCTCCCCAGGCCCAAGCAATCCTTCTACCTCAGCCTCCCAAGTAGCTGGGACTACAGGCGCATGCCACCACACCTGGCAATTTTTTTTTGTATTTTTTGCATGAGACAGGGTTTCCCCATGTTGCCCAGGCCGGTCTTGAACTCCTGGGTTCAATCAATCTTCCCCCCTTCCGCCTCCCACAGTGCTGGGATTACAGGCATGGGCCACTATACCCAGCTACCATCTTCCTCCTTTAAACACAGATGGTAGTATGCTATACTATAATGATTTACACTTTGCTTTTAAAATTTTTAGTTAGTAACAAATGTTAATGAAATTCCCGCTGTGTGCCAGCACTGTTGTAGGAACTGGAGGGCACACTGGTGACAAAAAAATAATCCCTACGCTCTTGGAGCTCACATTTTCATGGAGGGCTCAGCATAAATAGTAAACAGATCAGCAGCACGTCAGATGGCAATAAATGCTGTGGAGCACATTAAAACAGGATGAGAGGGTGGCTCAGGCCTGCCTGTAATTCCAGCACTTTGGGAAGCTGAGGCAGGAGGATCACTTGAGCTCAGGAGTTCGAGACCAGCCTGGGCAACGTAGTGAGACCTCGTCACTACTAAAAAAAAAAAAAAAAAAAAAAAAAATTAGCTGCGTGTGGTAGCACACACCTATAGTCTCAGCTACTTGGGAAGCTGAGGTGGAAGGCTCACTTGAGCCCAGGAGATTGAGGCTGCAGCCTGCAGTGAGCTATGATCACACCGCTGCATGCCAGCCTGGGTGACAGAATGAGACCCTTCCTATAAAAAACAAAAAAGATAAGAGAAAGGGAATGTGGTGAGAGAGGGGCTTGCTGTGTTTGAGTGGGCAGGTATGCAGTTCCCCCTAGGGAACCAGAGGGAGGGAAGGAGGGAGGGAGCTGTGAGGGCCCCTTAGGAAAGAGGCTGCAGGCAAAAAGAGTGGCAATTGCAGTGTCCTGGATGGAATAACGAGGGTAAAGAGGAATACGTGGTGCAAATCTTGTAGGCATCAAAGGGGGGGGCCATGTAAGTGTTTGGCGGTCATTTTGCATAAAGTAGATGACAGTTGTATAGTTTTCCTTTCTATAAAGGTATCAAGATCTTAGCAGTCTGCTGTTGATGCTTCAAGAAATAACCTTGTCCATTTTTCATTTCATTAGTGTTTCGGGTATTTGTTAAGTGTTTCAGATGTTTGTGTAGAATAAATTTCCTGAAGTGGAATTGCTTGGTGGAAGGGGATGTGCATTTGTGATTTGGGTAGATGCAGTATAATTGTTCTGTTAAAAAGTATTTGTTAAGTGTAATTTACTAAGGAAGCAAAGGGCACAGGGTATGTGTTATACCTAATTGTACTGTAAATAGAAATTTTAACATAGAATTTCCTCAAAAAAATACAGCTTTATAAATTGTATGTTTGTTTTACAGTGAATTTTGTGGCGAAAATCTAAGCAAGCAGAAATTTACTCGAGCAGTGAAGAAACTGAATGCAAATATTCTTTATCTTTGTTTTTCTCAGGTATGAAAAATACGTTGTGAACTAACTTTTACTTTCTTAAACAATTGAAAATATTAACCAATTCTTTAATTTTTTTAGCATGTAAATTTAGATCAATTACAACCACTGCATACCCTCAGGAATCTAATGTACCTGGTCAGTCCGAGCTCTGAACACCTAGGCAGGTAAGAAGGATATATGTTGCTTTTCTCTGAGTGTTTTTTGTGACTCCTGTTAGAAGAGTTGTATGTTGACATAGTGGAGTCCTGTTCCCTAATCCCAAACTCCTCAAACCAGACAAAAATAGTGCAGTTCCATACAGAAAGAAACAAAGGTAATTATATTTGAACTTTTTTTTGTAATCATGTCTTAGAAAAAAATGATATCAATCATTTTTATAAAACGCAGTAGAAGAAACCACAGAAGGCCAAAGGTCACATCTTTGAATCTGCGTATACGCCCCTCCTGGACATAGACCCCTTTATAAAAAGCTGTGAACTCTGTGGCCCTACCGAGTGTCCGTCCTGTGCATTTTCTTTTGCTCCTGCTCACTCCTTGTCCATCGTAACAATTCAGTTTATTTTTGAGATGGCGTTTCACTCTTGTCGCCCAGGCCGTAGTGCAGTGGTGCAGTCTCATCTCACTGCAACCTCCACCTCCCGAGTTCAAGTGATTCTCCTGTCTCAGCCTCACAAGTAGCTGGGATTACAAGCTTGTGCTACCACACCCAGCTAATTTTTATATTTTTAGTAGAGACGGGGTTTCACCATGTTGGCCAGGCCAGGCTCAAACTCCTGATCTCAGGTGATCCACCCGCTTTGGCCTCTCAAGAGTGCTGGGATTACAGGCATTAGCCATTAGGCCCAGCCACACAATTTTCTTATTAACACTGAGTCAATCTGAATCACCATTTGTTGGAGATAATAGGTGTTAAGAGGTTTAGGGGATGAACTGGTTTGAAATCAATTAGCTTAAAGAAAGTTAAATAAAAAATACCAACCAGGGCTGGTCTGTGAGATCTTTTTATTCTGTCAGCCCATGAAAGCATGAAGTATATGAGGCTCAGCTTCGTTCCATCCAGGCACCCTTGTGCCGGGCACTTAACTTTTTTTCCTTGCTCTTACCAGTCTGCATACAATTCTGCAGAGATGTGATATGGTTATGTATTTACACTTTTGAAAGAGTACTCAAAGAAAGACAAATGGTGGGAAAGTTCTTTTTGGATTCCCTTCTGCATCAGCCATCTACTGAAACCCAAGGTGTTAAATTAGGGGAGGCCTCCTCCACTGACAGTGTGCCTGGCTTCCCCCATTCGGCAGTTAAAATCTGCCTTGAGCCATTGTGTTACGCTTCCTCCTCCTCCCCACATCAGATAGTTAACATTTCCGGGATATAGACTCCTTTATAAAAAGCTGTGAACTCTCCAGGAAACTGCACATATACTTAAAATGTGCCATTTTACAGGGAGTTCATGCCTGTCACCCCTGATCCCATTCATTGGTTCATGAACTGTGGAAACCTGAGCATTAGAAATCCATCCTAGTTTTAGTGGTTGGTTTCTGTGAGTTTACTCACCCTCCTCTCTGTACCTTACCTGTAAAGGGCTGTAAAGAGCTCAACGTTAGGAAATTTACCTGTAAAGGGCTCAACATTAGGAAAATCTATCCTTACTAGTAAGAACCAATATTTTTGGGGCCAGTCTTTATTGACAAAGGGCCAACCTCTTTACTTCCCTTGGATATTATTCCTACTTTATAGATGGGAGAAACTGAAGCTTAGTATGATCAAATAACTCGTGGCCATGGGCACAGAGCTTGTACAAGTGGCGGAGCCAGGGTCTTAGCACACATCTGGCTGATCCACGGTAGTAGATACTCATGCCGTTAACCAGCATATATTATTTCATCACATTAACAGATTAAAGAAGAAAAAAGATCAACCTGATAGATGCTGAAGATAATTAAATAAAATGCAGCTCCCATTAATAATTGGGGGGGAAATGACTAGCAAGTTAAAAGTAGATTATTACTAGAGGATAGCTATCATAAACCTACAAGGAAAGTTATACTCAATGACAGATTACTTACATAGATATCGATGTAATTTATGCAATAGATTACATAGGAAAAATCAAGAGTGCCTACTATCAGTGCTGTGTTAACATAGCTCTGGAGGCCTTGCCAAGGCAAAGCATTCTTAAAAAGAAGTGAGGTGTATTTATATTGGGAAGAAAGAAACTAAGTAGATGGCATAACTATTAAACTGGATATCCAAGAGAACTAAGAAACTTAGAAATGATAGCTCAAATCAGGTGGTGGCTCACACCTATAATCCCAGCTACTTGGAAGGCTGAAATGGGAGGATCACTTGAGCCCAGGAGTTCAAGACCAGCCTGGGCAACCTAGTGAGACTCTGTCTCTACAAAAAGGAGAAAAAGTAATTTAGCCGGGCCTGGTATTGCATGCCTATGCAGTCCCAGCTACTCCAGAGGCTGAGGTGGGAGGATTGCTTGAGTTGAGTTCTAGGCTGCAGTGAGCTCTGATTGTGCCATTGCACTCCAGCCTGGCTGACAGTGAAACCCTGTCTCTTTAAAAAGAAAAAGATAAACGTACAAAAAGCAGTTGCTTTCTTGGGTGCCAATAACAACCAGTTTCGAAGTTTAATGGAAAAAGTGTTCCTTTTATTGTAGCAGCAAAACCTGTAAATTATACAGCAGTGATCTTAATAAAATATCTGTAAAATGATTACAAAAATTATGAAACTTATTTTTATTCCACATGTATTTTTTTAATGGCTGCTACACACTATTTGAGGAATGGAGCTGAAAGAAAGCCAAAGGCTTTCAGGATGAGCAGCCTCAATACTTCGAAAGTGCTACTTCTCAAAAGGAAGACTGATCATATTTCATGGAGCTTTGACAAGCTGATTCTAAAGTTCACTAGAAGTATAGTCTGCAAGGAAGTGTTGAAAAGAATAATGAGGGATGGGGTTGGTCCATTTAAAACACAGCATAAAGGTCTTTAAAACAGAATGCTGTTGTCATGCAAATAGGTAGAGTGATTAGAGGAAGAGAATGGTCCCAAAACAGACTCTCGTTTATGTGGAAATAGTCTTATGATAGGGGAGGCATTGAGTCCGATTATAGTTCAGTGTTGGGCCAGTTGGATATTCATATGGGTTAAAAGTTGAATTCATACCACATTCCATATACAAAAAATAAATTCCAAATGATATACAAAACCTTATTTAAAAAAAATACAGCTGTAAAAAAACTAAGCAAAAGGACCGTGTTTTATAATGATAGGGTGGTGAGGGAATTCCCAAGTAAGCCACAAAACCCAAAAACGGTAAAGGAAAGGAGTTACACGTCTTACTGTGTAAAAACTCTGAATGTGTCTAGTGAAAGCTACCATAAACAAAGTTAAAAGGCAGGTAATAGATTTTGTAATCCTGTAACACACAACAGATTAACATCTAGACAACTTAAGTATTTCAAATCAGTAAAGGAAAGACCAACAACCTATAGAAAAATAGACCAAAAAAATGTAAGTAGTCGGTATTTAAATGAAAAAAACCTTCAGGCTGGGTGCGGTGGCTCACGCCTATAATCCCAGCACTTTGGGAGGCCGAGGCGGGTGGGTCATGAGGTCAAGAGATCGAGACCATCCTGGTCAACAAGGTGAAAACCCCATCTCTACTAAAAATACAGAAATTAGCTGGGCATGGTGGTGCGTGCCTGTATTCCCAGCTACTTGGGAGGCTGAGGCAGGAGAATTGCTTGAACCCAGAAGGCGGAGGTTGCGGTGAGCCGAGATCGTGCCATTGCACTCCAGTCTGGGTAACAACAGCAAAACTCCGTCTCAAAAACAAGAAAAAAAAAGAAAAAAATCTTCAGGCTCAATCAAGAAAAAAAAATGTGCAGCCAGGCCCAGTGGTATGTGCCCGTAGTACCAGCTAATTGGGAGGCTAAGGCAGGAGGATCACTTGAGCTGAGGAGTTGGAGGCTGCAGTGAACTATGATCACTTTTGTGAATAACCACTGTACTTCAGCCTGGGCAACACAGGGAGACCCCATCTCTAAAATTAAAAAAAAAAAAAAACTTTAATAAAAAAATTAAAATGCAATTCGAAACAAGTTTTCATTTGCAACCATCCGTTTGGCAAAAATAGGAAGGATTGATGAATCCAGTGTTGGTGGTGGCTGAGGGAAAAGACCCTCATACAGGAAGTGAGTTTTTATAGAGGCTTTAAAGTTTTCTGTGGGCTTCCTCTTGAGTCAGGTTTTCCATTAAGAATTGCACACACAATTAGGCTGTGGGTCACACCTGAGTTTATGGCCAGAGGACAGGAAGTAGAACTTCCGAAGTCCCTTTTCACACTGCTTCAATGAGAATCAAAGTGTAGAGAAGGTTGTTAATGGAACCTGAGTGGGATTTCCTGTTTCCATTCAGACCAGCAGAACTGAGGATTCTATTCTGAAGAGACAAACTTTCATTTTTTTTTTTTTTTGAAACAAATTTAAACTTACAGAAAAATTAGGAAAAATAGCAGGGCCAGGCGTGGTGGCTCACACCTGTAATCCCAGCACTTTGTGAGTCTGAGGTGGGCAGATCACTTGAGATCAGGAGTTTCAGACCAGCCTGGTCAATGTGGGAAACCTCATCTCTATTAAAAAGACTAAAATTATCCGGGCGTGGTAGCGTGTGCCTGTAATCCCAGCTACTTGGAAGGCTGAGGCAGGAGAATCACTTGAACCCAGGAGGCGGAGGTTGCAGTGAACTGAGATCATGCCACTGCACTCCAGTCTGGGAAACAGTGAGACTCCATCTCAAAATTAAAAAAATAATAATAATAATAAATAAAAATAGTGCAGGCACACCCTTACTCAGATTCACCTATTAATATTTTGCCCATTGCTTATCCTTTGTGCAGTCTCTGTGTGTCCGTAAATGCACACACCCTCACATACTTGAAATAAGATTGTAAAAGTGACTTTAACAAAGCTAGAAAGATCCTTTTGTTGCCTTAATTAATAGAATACCTCCTTGCAGCACTATGAAAAAATGAGTATTCCTGCTTCAGGGTCTTGAATAAAAAGATATCCATTATTCAGCTAAACTAAAAATTAAGCGCCTTTATAATCTTTATTTCCCAACGACATTAAGTGAAATAGAATGAATTATTTTGCTAGCCGGTGTGTGTGCTATGTCTCTAGCTTGGAGTCTGGTAGGCAGGTGGTAGATCTCTAACTTAAAAGTGGTGGTAGAGAGAGGCACTGAGTGGAGAGACATTGCAGGGGCCTCTGCCAGGACTCTCCTGCTCTGTGGCTTCTCAGAAATGTAGGTTGATCATCAGAACCAACATTGTTCCATACTGCCCCTTGAGGAGTCTTCCATTCAGTCGCTTTTCATTGTACTTAGTTGAGCGCCTGCTCCGTGCCAGGTGGGTTTCTCTAAGCAGAGAACTGGAATCCACCAGGAACTCTGCCTAGAGGAAATATCATTTCCTCCTCTGCATTCATTCTGCATGTCTCCTGGGAAAACTAAGAGGGGGTCTGGAAGGACCCCAGGAATAGAGAAGGCAGCATCAAAGAGGAAGAGAAAACAGGCTGAGCCTTGGAGGGAGAGAGAAGGGAGGAGTGAGCTGTAGTTAAAAAGCTGACTGGGGCCTTAGGGGGATCCTGGGAAAACAGCCTGGCAGTCAGTTCTGAGGTCCCCTGGACTGCACAGCTGAACAGAACAGAATCAGAGCGCCCTGCATTTAATAAAGGAGGGAGCCCAGCAAAGGAATTGAAATTGTGAACGTTTTTAGTGAGTGCGTGCCAGGAGGAGAGAGAGGCAGCTCTCCAACTAGAGGAGGCAGGTGGGAGATGATGGTGATGTGGTGAGGCTCTGGGCCAGGGTGACACGTTGAAAATGGAAAAGGGGCTTATTTGATTACAGGTAGTCCTGGTGACCACAGACATAAATCAAGAGGGAGGAGGGGAGGAGTCCTAGCCGGCTAATGTTTTGAGACTGGTTCAGATATCTGAGATGAGCCTGAGGGTTTAGTAACCAGGGGCGATTTGGAGTGGCGCTAGGAATCTGAAAAGATGGCTTTAGAGTAGAACTGTCTGCCGAGGAAAAGAAAAAGGGGAGAAAAGAAATGAAGCACACTCCGGCCATAGTGGCTCGAGGAAAAGAAAAAGGGGAGAAAAGAAATGAAGCACACTCCGGCCATAGTGGCTCGAGGAAAAGAAAAAGGGGAGAAAAGAAATGAAGCACAGTCCGGCCATAGTGGCTCGAGAACATAATCCCAGCACTTGGGGAGGCTGAGGTGGGTGGGTCACGAGGTCAAAAGATGGAGACCATACTGGCCAAATACAAAAATTAGCTGGGCATGGTGGCACGTGCCTATAGTCCCAGCTACTCAGTGGGGTGAGGAAGGAGAATTGCTTGAACCCAGGAGGTGGAGGTTGCAACGAGCCGAGATTGTGCCACTGCACTCCAGCCTGTTGACAGCAGAGCCAGACTCTATCTCAAAAAAAAAAAGGAAAAAAAAAAGAGATGAAGCCCAAGGAGAAACTTGAGGATACATAAAAGGATGCTCAGTGGCCATTAGTTTGCTTGGTAGAGAAATTCAAGGGGCAGTAGGAAGATTTGGAGAGACCCTCCCAAGTCCCACTCCCTTCACCCTTGCAAAATACTGACTTTTGGGCAGAGTGGGGGCCTAGTCAACTTGGGAGCCCCCCTAGTCTCAGGGGTTCTTTGAAAATTGCTCACTGGAGACCAAGTGGGAAACCGCAGGCATATCTTCCAATTTAATTAGTACTTGTAAAGCCCTGAAAACAGTCACTGGAGCATAAATGTTGGCCATTATGATTGTCTATCCAGCCGGGAAGTACAGGTGTCTGGGAGGAATGAGGGCTGCTTATTCCTGTAAAAAGTGAGTCAAAGGTGCAGAACTGGTGAGCTGCATTGGAGGCCACTGCTAGCCTTTTATCATTGTGAAGGCTGTAAAGAATGTTGGACTCTAGACTACAATGTCAGGCTGTACACTTCTAGGCTCTCACTTCTGTTACTTATTTTGACCTCTCTTATTTTCCCCAAAGTCGTTATCAGTGAAACCCTTAAGTGAAGCATGGCATTTAGTATGCTTATCTTGGGGGCAGCAGGAGGGAGATAGTGGCACCTTGGTCCCACCCTGGAGCTTTGTTGCAGGGCAGTTCCCTGAAAGGCTATGGGTGGGGTGGCTAGCTGCCCTGAAGCAGAAGCTGAGGGGCATTTGAAAGAGAGCAGAAAAAGAAGCAGAAAGGCAATAGGTTGTGGTGGCTCATGCCTGTAATCCCAACACTTTGGGAGGCAGAGGTGGGTGGATCACTTGAGGTCAGGAGTTCAAGACCAGCGTGGCCAACATGGCGAAACCTTGTCTCTACTAAAAATAAAAAAACTAAACAGGCATGATGGTGGGCATCTGTAATCCCAGCTACTCAAGAGGTTGAGGCAGGAGAATCACTTGAACCTGGGAGGCAGAGGTTGCAGTAAGCTAGATTGTGCCACTGCACTCCAGCCTGGGCGGCAGAGCAAGACTGTCTCAATTAAAAAAAAAAAAAGATCAGGAGCTTGACACCAGCCTGGCCAACGTGGTGAAATCCCATCTCTACTAAAAATACAAAAATTAGCCAGGCATGGTGGTGGGTGCCTGTAATCCCAGCTACTTGGGATGTTGTGGCAGGAGAATCTCTTGAACCTGGGAGGAGGTTGCATTGAGCCAAGATCACGCCATTGCACTCCAGCCTGGGTGATAATAGCAAAACTCCATCTCAAACAAACAAAAAAAAGCAGAAAGGCTTCCATGGTTTGCCGATTCGGTTCCCTGTGCTGAGGAGCCAGCAGAGAGGATGAGGCCTAAGAAAGGGTTATTGGACTTGGCAGTGAGGATGTCATTAGGGACCTTTGGGAAATAAACAGTTTTCTCCTGAAATACAGTGCAGTAATATTCAGAATTGCCTCTGATATATTCTAAACAGTTGTGCTTCATTCTGTGCTATAAATGTGTCCTAGAAAATAGTGGTGATATTTTTAAACATGTACAGGAGCCCACTGAGTTTTCTTTGTATACCATTTATTCCATTTATTACTTGTTACACTAAATAATATACCGAGTACTCAAGTGGCTTTTTGTTACAATTGTCTCATTGGAGTGCTGTGTGTTCACCTTATAGACACTGCAGTTCTTTACAACAGGAAATCAGACTGAGGACCAGCATGGACCATCTCAGTGAATGGGTTTTTTTCCTATGCAGGGTCTTCACCAATTAAGTAGGTAGACTTGTGGAAAAGTGTGATATCACAATTTGATTTATAACTTGGATGGAGATGATTATTTGGGTAAAGGAAAATTCAATCATATGTCAACAGAGTGCAGCACAGACTTGGGGAATGAATGGCGTGGTCCCTCATCCCCTCAGGTGAGGGCCTTCAGGAAGATGGCTTATTTTCTGGTGTTGAGAATGGTGGTTATCCTAAAGAGGCCCTCATTGTCTGCACACAGGTCAGGGCCCTTTGAAGTGCGAGCAGACCTTGAGGAGTCCATGGAATTTGTGGATCCCGGAGTTGCTGGAGAATCAGATGAGAGTGGAGATGAGCACAAAAGCGATGAAGAAACCGACCTGGGCACAGACTGGGAGAACCTGCCTAGTCCCCGGTTTTATGATATCCCTTCCCAGCCTGTGGAAGTCTCCCAGAGTCAGAGCACCCAGGTGTCCCCACCCATTGCAAGCAGCAGTGCAGGTGGGATGATCTCCTCTGCAGCAGCCTCAGTGACCTCCTGGTTTAAAGCTTACACTGGACACCGTTAACGAGCATGGACTAAAACATGCCAAATCTGCATCAAGAAAGTTCTTCTCCCACTACACTCTAGTCAACATTATCTGTTTAGTTAAGATAGTGCCTGGAACATAGAGGTTAAAGTGGTGTTTTGGGTTTTTTTTAAGCAGGGAGACAAACATTTCTGTTTGTCAAGTGGCCTGTGATGGTGACCAATGTGTTTGATAATTAATAGAACAGAAGGGTCAAAGGTCTTTCTACCCAGACCAGTGTTGGTGAAGAAGGACCTGTGATTATGGCCAGTTCTGCCAAGGAAGCAGTTAATTTGGGTTCCCTCTGGGCCCAGCTACAGGGTCCACAGACGTGCGTCAGTGTTCTGGTCCTTGCGGTGCTGAGTCTGTTGCTGACACTTTAATTTTAGAGGTTGGTTGAATCATAAGAGGTGATTCTTGATGATTAGGACATGAATGGGAAAAGCTCTTTAATAGGAGTTTTTCTGCTATTGTTTTTTGTACAGAGAACCAGCAGGCAATTTGGAATCATTTGATTATTTGGTCCTTTGGTTTTGTTTGGGGAGAGGATGTTTCAATGTGTTTCATTCGTGCTGCTTTGTCATAGTTTGTCAGACATACCTGTTTTTCTTTTCCCCCCACACACCAAAGAAAATGAAAGTCTTTTTCTTTAGGATCCACATCTATAAATGGAAGAAATCCTGGCTGCAATAATGTCCTAAAGATTTTTTTTAAACTATTTTCTTGTTTTCTGAGGAGAATTAAGCTTATTCTTACCTAGTTTATTGAATTCCTGCCATCCACGCCATGAGCATTTTGAAATTGAACTTCTCTGAGGGATGATAAGTCATGAAGGTTGGCTGGCTTACACCTGTAATCCCAGCACTGCGGGAGGCTGAGGCAGGCAGATCACCTGAGGTTGGGAGTTTGAAACCAGCTACATGAGTTTGAGACCAACATGGAGAAACCCATCTCTACTAAAAATACACTGTAATCCCAGCTACTTGGGAGGCTGAGGCAGAAGAATCGCTTGAACCCAGGAGGTGGAGGTTGCGGTGAGTCAAGATTACGCCATTGCAGTCCAGCCTGGGAAACGAGCGAAATTCCATCTCCAGAAGAAAGAAAGAAAAGTCGTGAAGGTCATTCCCTTATGTGTAAGCTCAATGCCTGCATGGGCACAGGGGAAAAGCCACTTAGTTAAGCGGCCTCTGGTCATTCTTGTGTTGTCCAGTTTCTTTCTATGGGATTTCCTAGGTGACAGGTGTTTCCAGGGGAAACGTCCTGCTTGTTTCCAAGGTCTTTGTTCTGAGGACACAGCTTTGCTCAGAAACGCAGCGCAGATCCTTACAGCTAATGCTGCTTGTCTCTGTTCTGGGGAAAGCACAATGTAAAGAATGTCCCTCACCAGGAGATCATTTTCAGCTCATGTGTCTTGTCATGCTTTTAGTGACAATCTTACAAGAAAACTATGAGAGAGGCATTATGTACAAATATGTAAGTAGTTTTTTATTTTTAATAACTGCACAAAAAAATCCTATGAAAAATTCCTAACAGGCATTATTACCATATTATCTTACGTGATTAGCATGATAGCACCTCAGCTAAGTCATTCAGAGGTTTGCCATGTCCCACCTTCTTTTCTCATTGTAATTATTGTAGTTGATACTTTGCCTCCAAGTCTGGGGTGCTATATAGCTTTTGCTAATGGTATATATGGTGTTTGGTATAATTGTGGGTAGAGTTGCAGAAGGGAGTTTATTTCTATCCAGGAGTCTCAAATTCCTTGGCTCTGTGAATTTTCCATGAAAGGAGGAAGTAGACTTTACTCCTTGTGGATTTTCTTTTTTTTTTTGAAACAGTGTCTTGCTCAGCCCTCCAGGCTGGCGTTCAGTGGTGTGATCTCGGCTCACTGCAAACTCTGCCTCCCAGTTTCAAGCAGTTCTCCCGTCTCAGCCTCACGAGTAGCTGGGATTACAGGCACCTGCCATCGTGACCAGCTAATTTTTGTATTTTTGTAGAGATGGGGTTTCACCATGTTGGCCAGGCTGGTCTTGAACTCCTGACTTCAGGTGATATGCCTGCCTTGGCCTCCCAAAGTGCGAGGATTACAGGCATGAGCCACTGCACTCGACCCCTTGTGGGTTCATCTACACTGCTGTGTTAAGTGCCCAGCTACATGATTACTGGGCTTGCTTGCATTTTCCCATCCAGTTCTGGAGTTCATAGAGAGTGGAGATGGTGGACTTGAACAGATACCAAATAAACTTACGATCTTTTAATAGTCATCTAGTTACTACTTACAACTCTCAGAAGGAAGAACTTGGTCTCACGAGTTGCAAGATTGGATTTGGAGCTTGGAGGTAGAGATTGACTTCATCTGAGATGAACAGTAGTTACGGTTTTCTTAAGCCTTTTATGAAACCATGAATGTGAGATGAAGCTATAGAATCCAGAGATCACAAACTCATATCTAGAATACTTCAACAAAATTTACAAAGATGTGGGAACTTTAGGGATTGATAGGATATTTTGTTGTTAATATCAACTAGTGGCACTTTATGTAGGGTTAAGTGATCGAACCCTTTTGTGGTTTGGAACACCAACATACTGGCTTACACTGCTGAAATATTTTGGGTTTCATTATTTTGCACTGGATCCACCCTGTAAATACTCTGAAGTATACATTTCAACCACTGTTTTTTCTACTCTTTTTGCTGCTCATTAAAATCTTTCATGTAGGTGCCAGAACCATATGTAAACAGCATTTTTAAAAAATTGAAGCTGGTTTTTTTTTTTTTTAAATAAAAAGCCATAGAACTTGGTCATGTTTTCCATTTTAAAGTGATTTATTGAAACAAGGTAATACTAATAAAAACCCACACAGGCACCAAACAGGCTGCTTAAAATGGTCTATTAAAGACATTTTTGGTAATGGACTATAAGAAAAGTTTTGCACATCTATAAGTTAGAGGGGAAAGCTGGGTCGAGTGGACAGGATTCATGTAAGGACTCACAGAAGTCGGGGAAGAGCATTCAGTGGCGTGCTGTTAAGAGGACTAGTGTCTGAGAATCTCCTCGCAGTGTCATGTTGCAGGAATTCCCCATTGCTCTGCAACTTCCAAATCAGTTTCAGTCATACAGATGTTTTCTAAACTTTATTGTATTACTGCAATAAACCTTTTAACAGTACTTTGCTAGTGTGTGTGTCTTTTTCAAACTCTGTTCATTTCCACTGCCACATCGAGGGTAGCAAGAATGAGATTGAACCTTCCATACATGTTACTGGGAAAGATAGGCAAAAAAAATAAAAAAGAAAAAAGAATGAGATTGAACCATGGAACACTTGATACAAATCATAGAATTTTTTAGAATTTTGCCAGGTAAGAAAAAATGTCTGTTAATACGTTCTTTTTAAATGATGGATCATGGTGGTATTAATGGTCTTTCACAAGCTGGAAGCTGGTTGCACACTTACCCTAAAGATGTGTTTTTCTTTGGTAGCCATCATATGATGCATGTGGCCTACAGTGACTTGGTTCTGTGCAACAGACCCCTGGAGGAGGGATCTCTAGGATGTCCATGTGGAACCTGCCCACACTTTCTTTGGGACAAGAGAAAAAGGGAAATGTTAAAGGGGACCACTCACAGGCCTGAGTAGCTTTGGAGAATCCCTTCCCTTCCCCACCTAACACCCCTTTTTATTTTTCATAACTAACTTCTCCCAAGTGGGTATCAGTACCCTTCAGGTTAGATTATTGTAGACAGGGACCACCTACAGGTGGTGGAGAGCTACCAAGAGTGACTGCTGTGGCAGAGCCGGGCCAGCCAGGATACCCCCAGGAGCTATTGCCATGCTATGATCACACTGCCCCTTTACCTGGAGCAGAAGGCTGGCAGGAACAGGAGGAAATAGGCAAGGAAACGGAGGGTTGTCAAACAATGTGCGCGCTTCAGTGGCACTGTCAGTCTTTCTAGGCAGCAGTTAAAAGCATGCACCCATCTAGTGTTTAAAGGGAGATTTCCCATCCTGAGTTGTATCATGGTTGATGAAGCAATCAGATTGAAGTAGATGGGAGGAATTACAGAAGACTTTTAGGCCGGGTGTGGTGGCTCGCACCTATAATCCCAGCACTCTGGGAGGCTGAGGCGGGCAGAGAACGCAGTCAGGAGTTCAAGACCAACCTGACTAACATGGTGAAACCATCTTTACTAAAAATTGGAAACGGAGTTGGGTGTGGTGGCACACACCTGTAATCCCAGTTACTCAGGAGGCTGAGACAGGAGAGTCGCTTGAACCTGGGAGGCAGAGGTTGCAGTGAGCCAAGGTTGCAGTGAGCTGAGATTGCACCCCTGCACTCCAGGCTGGACAAGAGTGAGACTCCATCTCTGGACAAGAGTGAGACTCCATCTTTAAAAAAAAAAAAAAAAAAAAAAAAAAGGAATGACTTTTGTCATTAGTATTGGGGAGGTTATTTAAAAGTTGCATCAGTAAAATGTACCAGGAAACTTGAAACTGGGCTCCTGGGCAAGCCATCTGCATCTCGGCCTTGAAACTCTCAATGAGGAAAACCACCACCAGCCAACCTGGTGAGAAAATACACTGGAAAGAGTTCACAGTCTGCTTAAACTTATACAGATGAGGTGAATTTTTTTAGGGCCAGGCATGGTGGTTCATGCCTGTAAATCCCAGCACTTTAGGAGGCCAAAGGCAGGAGGATTGGCTGAGCTCAGGAGTTCAAGGCCAACATACGCAACATAGACCCCCATCTCTACAAAAATTTAACAAATCAGGCATGGTGGTGTGCACCTGTGGCTACTCAGGAGGTTGAGCTGGAGGATCACATGAGCCTGGGATGTAGAGGCTGCAGTGAGCTGTGAGTGTACCACTGTACTCCAGCCTGGGCAATAGAACAAGACTCCATCACACAAAAACAAAAAACCAGAAACCACCAGTGAGACAATCTTTCCTCCAAGAAAGAGGATAATAAACTAGCAAGAGTTACATCAATGACTTTTTTGTTGTGCCTTTTGTAAGGAGGAGTAAGAGATACTGTGGTGGTGAGTGGGATCTAAGAGCCTTTGAATGAATGCTCCCCTTTACAAAGTGAGAATATTGGCAGAAGATAATAGATGACACTATTTAAGTGTTGAAAATGGGCTAGAGCCAGTTGAGTGGAAAAAAACTCAGGCATTAAGCAGGAGTGTCCAATCTTGGCTTCTGTGGACCACAATGTAAGAATTGTCTTGGGCCACACACAAAATACACTAATGATAGCTAATGAGCTTTAAAAAAAAGTCTTATGATGTTCTAAGAAAGTTTACAAAGTTGTTTTGAGCCACATTCAAAGCCATCCTGGGCTGCAAGTTAGACAAGCTTGCATAAAAAGGTCTTGTGGGCTGGGCATGGTGGCTCACACCTATGATCCCAGCACTTTGGGTGACCAAGGTGGGTGGATCACCTGAAGTCAGGAGTGAAAGACCAGCCTGACCAACATGGTGAAACCCCATCTCTACTAAAAATACAAAAATTAGCCAGGTATGGTGGCAGGCACCTGTAATCCCAGCTACGCAGGAGGCTGTAGTGAGAAGATCATGTAAACTTGGGAGGCTGAGGTTCCAGTGAGCTAAGATCATGCCACTGCACTCCAACCTGGGTAACAGACCAGACTGTCTCAGAAAGACAAGGCCAGGCATGGTGGATCATGCCTGTAACCCCAGCAGTTTGTGAGGCCAAGGTGGGTGGCTCATCTGAGGTCAGTTTGAGACCAGCCTGGCCAACATGTTGAAACCCCATCTCTACTGAAAATACAAAAAATATATATGTATGGGCCGGGTGTGGTGATGCATTCCTGTAATCCCAGCTACTTAGGAGGCTGAATCAGGAGAATCACTTGAAACCAGGAAGCGGAGGTTGCAGTGAACTGAGATCATGCCATTGCACCGCGGCCTGGGCAACAAGAGCGAAACTCCATCTCGGAAAAAAGGGTCCTGTGGCATCAACACCTCCAGATCCATATCAGATTGTCCCTGACCTTGCCCTCCCTTTGGGTATGGCATCTTTAGCATTTGCTTTATGGCTTCAGAAGACACCTGGATTTTGAGGAAAGAACATTACTACCCTTCCCAGCAGCTTATTTCCCTCATGAAAAGAAAAAATTGTCAAGACAACATTTCTGGAGCATAAGTATGTTGCTCTCAATTTGGGAATGAAAGTGCCAGTGGTTTGATGGTAGATGGAATAGACATTTCCCAACCCATGGCTGATGAAAGAATGTGAGGAGCAGAGAGGATCTTCTGTGATCAGCCATTTTCACAGTTGCATTCAAATTAAAGAGGACTAAGTCTAGTATCCACAGGAGGAAGTAACTCTTTTCTGGTTCAGGGGCCACTGGTACTGGCTTAAGGGAGTTCTGCTACTCCTTTGAGATATTTTACATTTTTTTTTTTTTACTTTAATACAAGCATACCTGGTTTTATTGCACTTTGCTTTGTCGCACTCTCAGATAGAGGGTTGTTTTGTTTTGTTTTGTTTTGTTTTACCAATTAAAGGTTGGTGATAACCCTGCACTGAGCAAGTCATCAGTGCCATTTTTCCAACAGCATATGCCCACTTCATCATGTCTCTGACGACATTTTGGTAATTCTCAACATTTCAGATCTCTGCATTTTATCTGTTATGGTGATAAGTGATCTTTGATGTCACTATTGTAATGGTTTTGGAGGTCCAAGAACTGTGTCTGTATAAGAGAGCAAATTTAATAAATCTGTGTTCTGACTACTTCATTGACCTCCTGTTCCCCAATTTCCCTCTCCTTGGGCCTCCTTATTCCCTGAGACACAACAATACTGAAATTTAGGGCCAGGGGTGGTGGCTCACACCTGTAATCCCAGCATTTTGGGAGACTGAGGTGGGTGGATCACCTGAGGTCAGGAATTCAATATTGAGAAACCGCATCTCTAATCAAAATACAAAATTAGCCAGGCATGGTGGTACATGCCTGTAATCTCAGCTACTCGGGAGGCTGAGGCAGCAGAATCGCTTGACCCCAGGAGGCGAAGGTTGCAGTGAGCTGAGATCGTGCCATTGCACTCCAGCCTGGACAACAAAAGCAAAACTCCGTCTCCAAAACAAACAAAAAGGAAAAAAGAAATTGGACCAGTTGATAGCCCTACAGAGGCCTCTAAGTGTTCAAATGAAAGAGTCCCGTGTCTCTCACTTTAAGTCAGAAACTAGAAATGATTAAGCTTAGTAAGAAAGGTATGCCAAAAGCCAAGACAGGCTCAAAGCTAGGTCTCTTGTGCCAAACACCCAAGCTGTGAAGGCAAAGGCAAAGTTCTTGAAAGTAATTAAAAATCCTACTCTAGTGAACACACAAATTATTTAAAAAGCAAAACAGCCTTATTGCTGATATGGAGAAAGCTTTAGTAGCCTGGATAGATCAAACCAGCCACATTACCTTAAGTCAAAGCCTTGTCCAGAAATAGGCCCTCATTCTCTTTTTCTTTGATGGTTGAGAAGTGAGGAAGCTGTCGAAGGAAAGTTGAAAGCTAGCAGAGGTTGGCTCATGAGGTGTAAGAAGCTGTCTCTGTGCCGGGTGCGGTGGCTCACGCCTATAATCCCAGCACTTAGGGAGGCCAAGGTGGGTGGATCACGAGGTCAAGAGATCAAAATCATCCTGGTCAACAAGGTGAAACCCCGTCTCTACTAAAAATACAAAAATTAGCTGGGCATGGTGGTGCGCGCCTGTAGTCCCAGCTACTCGGGAGGCTGAGGCAGGAGAATTGCTTGAACCCAGGAGGCAGAGGTTGCAGTGAGCTGAGATCGTGCCATTGCACTCCAACCTGGGTAACAACAGCAAAACTTCGTCTCAAAAAAAAAAAAAAAAAAAACTGTCTCTGTGACATAAAAGTGTAAGATGAAGCAGCAAGTTATCCAGAAGATCTAGCTAAGGTAATTGAAGAAGATGGTTATACTAAACAACAGATTTCCAAGAGATGAAACAGCATCCTATTGGAAGAAGATGCCATCTAGGACTTTCACAGCTAGAGGAAAGCCAGTGCCTGGCCTCAAAGCTTGGGAGAACTGACTCATTAGGGGCTAACGCAGCTGGTGACTCTAAGTTGAAGCCAGTGTTCATTTATCATTGCAAAAATCCTAGACCTCTTAAGAATTATGCTAAATCTACTCT